CCATATCATTCATCAGGTGACTTTTTGCTGGGACTCACGCGGGCATGGCCCTGTACCTCATCGTCCGCACCAATGTCATGCAGCTTCTCTTGGCACGGGGCTGGTCCGTGGAGGCACCGGCTCCGCCCGACGTCAACGAGCTAGACCCTGACCTCTTGAGCCAGTTTCAGCGTGAATCCCAACTGATGGTCGAGGTAAGCCGACTGAACAGCGACTCTTCTTTCTTCTTCTTCTGATTATTCCTCTTCTTTTTCTTGACATGCCTTTCTCTCAACACTGGGTCATGTTAGCTGAGTCCCGTGTTGAGCAAGTCGCAAATATTGCAACCAGATGAACATCACGCAGGTAGCAAACGATTTGCCAAATTAGCCAAAAATCAGCGATTAGCCTATCTGGTTCAGAGTTGCAAAAGCTGTCATTTGCAGCCCTCTCCGTTGAAACAGGGCCGCATGCTCTTGCACATCCACGGGAACCCTAGTCTTCATGCATGTTGCTCATTCCTCTCTGATAATCTTTTTTTCTGTCGTCGTCAGAACCTCTGCACAAGTGCTGGATCGAGCCAGTCCGAATGGCCATTGCCGAGGCTCGCCAACAGAACGCATCTGAATCAGGCACGCCTCGCTGTATCCTCACAGTCTTGACACTCAGTAGCGTGACACCTGATGATCAAAGTGGTTAGAGCCGAGTATTCTGTTAACAACATTGTTTTAACCGCACCTCATTAGCAGGCGATGTCGAGCGGGCATCGCACTTGAAATATTTGTTCAATGATCTTCTCTCCGACCAAGACCTCGCTTCCATCGCTCTTGCCGAGGTCGAGCCGGCTTGCCATGTCACCATTAGAGCAACTCTCTATGGCTCCCACGAAAATCAGCCATATGTTCCCTATCCTTTTTTTTTTTTTTTTTTTTTTTTTTTTTTTTTTTTTTTTTTTTTTTTTTTAATTTCTTTTTTCCTCTCCGTTTGGAGGTTGCCATAGGTGGAATCGGCTGCTTGCTACCATGCTTTGGGTGCCAAGGTATAGCGTTGTCTTAAGCTGATAGTTTGTCCCGCACTCCGAGTGCTCGTTCATTGCCTCAAGCAGTTAATCCTTTCCTTGTTGTCCTAGCTGACGACAATTGCTCAAGCCATCGGGCGCGCCCTTTATCGGCTGTACTTCATCCGACATAATGAACAAACAGGCGCTACCCGCGAGGTGAGAACCGTTCGGTCGGAGTTAAGGTCTGATTTGAGAGTGGAGGGCAAGGAGATGCTCTCGTGATTGGTTGACTATTCGGAACCTCTGACGCCTTTTGCACGTTCTTTATTCTTTCTTGTCGCCGCTTGTCGCCCGATGCAGACTTTGCAGGTCTACTCCGAATACCTCAAGGATTTCAACAACACCAGCATGTCTCGCAACGCTTTGGCCGACACTTGGCGCCGCGTTGAGCAGCGGTACAGCCTGTTCACTTCCTTGGCTGCCAGCTTGAGTCCCTCTCATCATCGTCTGGACATGCCTTTTTTGCATTAGCTTGGGTATCAAGACGGATGATCAATACGACAGTGACTTGCTTTCTCCGTGGCCCATTCCAGTATGTCCTATTCAAACATCATATTGTGCTAGCTGAAGGTCACTCATCGCTGGCGTTCGATCTCAATCGTTCACATATCACACTGAATTCAGGTGCTCTTGGCATGTGGCACAAGTTTGCTTGAGGTGGTTTTGCAAACCAGCTCAACTGGGCACTTACCAAATCACGACAAGTACGTACTGCCATGAAAAATTAGCACCTCGTCGTCTGGAATTGCTATCCTACTCTCAATGACTTGAATGCGCTCAATTTCCGATACTCTCCATTCCCCCCCCCCTCCCCTTTTTTTTCCCTCTCTCTCTCTCTCTCTCTCCTCTCACACCATGATTTTTTTTTTTTTTTTTCAAACAACCTTTCACAAACAGAAAGCCTGTCGCTGCTTTTTATCACATGATGCAGCTGGATGGCGTCAAGCGTGTAGGATACATTCGGTGCCACAAGTTAGTGCTGGACCGTGTGTCTGGACAGGCTTCAGACCGAGGCTCTTGCGTGGTAAGAATATATGAGATATGAGGCAATGTGAAGCGATGAGCTGTTTGAGACCGGGGGAGGGGGAGGCAGGGTGTTAGGATGGCTCTCTTGCCCAATCCTTGTCGTATTGTGAATGTTATCGACATCCTCTCATAAGCTCCTGGGTGGTTACTTCCAATGCCCTAGCCCTCGAAAGTGGCCATTGATGCATCGCAGCTGCCCATGACCATACCACCTCGTCCCTGGACTTCAGTGCGCAAGGGCGCTTATCTTATTTGTCCAAGTATGAGTTTTTATTTATCTCTGTTCCTCGCTTGGCAAGTGGAGACAGAGCTCACATTGCCTGTGTCTTGCTTGATGCCCAGGCGCGATCATGCGAACTGGAGACTGGGCGTTTCAGCACTTTGCGCTTTTGTCTGAGGCGACACACAATCTCGCTCGCGTGTTTAATGCGATCAGCGCTCTCAGTGCCACGGCGTGGAAGGTCAACGGACAGGTTTGTTGATAAAACTTGACCTCCCGTTGCCAGCGCTCCCTCTCAGATTTCACTCTCATGCTTACATGTGAAATCCCATTTTTCCAGGTGTTGCGTGTTGTTACGGAGCTGTTTCATAGCGAAGATGGCTATGATGACCTTGGCATTGCACCCTTTCGCGTCAATTATGAGGTAAGTGACAAATGCAGCTGGATTTGTTGATGAGGGAAAATCTCTTCCTCAAAAAATTCATAGCGCACCTTTTGTCGCTCAACAGGTCGACAAAACGGATCCCAAATCACTTAAAACGCACAAGAAGCTGTCCAATGAGGCACACTCTCTTCGCTCTGATTTGCACCTGCGTCTCATGGTAGCCCACTGGGTAGGTTTGCCACCTGTCTCCCCTCCTAACCCAATCAACATCTCTTGTGTTTCTTTGAAAATATATCATGCTCAGCTGTTACGCCACCGAATCTCTCAAACTCGGCCTCGCAGCTTGGCGAGAAACAGTTTTGGCTTCCGCACAACCTGGATTTTCGTGGCCGTGCATACTCCATGCCCCCATATTTGACGCACATTGGCAACGATATGGCGCGCGGCCTGCTCACTTTTGCTGAGACCAAACCTCTCGGTGCTGATGGTTGGCGTTGGCTCAAGGTGCATTTGGCTAATGTATATGGGAAAGACAAGTACGTGCCTCTCGGCTCATATTCAGCTATTTCCCCACTATCACTATTGACCCCGTGTGCAATCACCCAACCACAGACTGCCTATGGATGAGCGTGCCAAGTTTGCAGAGGACAACATGGAGAACGTGTTGAGCTCAGCCGATCGACCCCTTGCTGGTCTGCTGGAGCCAGGGGTATGTTTCATGCGCGCCTGTTTGGACCGCACATGAGGACGCATCGTATTTAACCTTTCTCGTTCAATTTGATTTGGATCTAGGAGAAGAGTTGGTGGCTCAAGGGAGAAAATCCATGGCAGGTTTTGGCAACGTGCATGGAGCTAGCTGCAGCTTATCGAAGTGGCAACCCTGAGGCATATGAATCTGGCTTCCCCGTTCATCAGGATGGCACATGCAACGGCCTACAGCACTATGCCGCCATGGGTGGTGATATCGCTGGTGCTCGCCACGTGAATGTTATTCCGACTCCCGAAGACGATCGTCCCCAAGACGTGTACTCGGCCGTTGCTGCCAAGGTCGACGAACTACTGCACATGCAAGCCACCACTGGTAACTTTGAGCATTTTCCTCGAGAGGTCAAGGATCCTGAGCGCTATAAGCAGCTTGCCCGTCTTCTTATGGAACAAGGCCCTATGAAGCGCAAGGTCAGTAGACCAGTTCCTCGTGCGATCGCACTTTACATGCATCTTCCACTTGCAATCTCTCAACTGCATGATTTGTGCTTTTTTTTCTTGTCCGACATAGATTGTGAAACAAACGGTCATGACCAACGTGTATGGTGTCACATACATTGGTGGACGTGACCAGATCTTGCGGCAACTCAAGGCCCATGATTACGTTCCCGATGCTCTGATGAAGGATTGTGCAAGCTACTTGACGTTGTTGGTATTTGCTTCGCTTGGTCAGATTTTTGTCAACGCGCAAAAGATTCAAAAGTGGTTGTCCAGACAAGCACGCATGATCGCCTCGTCCGGTGAACCCGTGTCCTGGGTGACACCACTTGGCTTGCCTATCATTCAGCCATATCACATGGCAGCAAAGCGACAGGTACATTCCAGCCACCACATGACTTGCTCCTGTTTGTATAAAGACATCATTCTAACTCAAACCCTTGTCTTGCTGCTGTTTTTTTTTTTGTTTTTTTTTTCTGTTTTCTGTTTTCTGTTTTCTGTTTTCTGTTTTCTGTTTTCTTTTTTCTTTTTTCAGATAACCACAAGTCTACAGTCAGTCATGACCACTGTGACTACTTCACCGATCAAACCGCCTAACGTCGTGAAGCAAAGCAGTGCTTTTCCACCCAATTTTGTCCACTCTTTGGACTCGACGCACATGCTACAGACTGCTGCTGCTTGCACCAAAGACGGCTTGACGTTTGCTGCCATCCATGACAGCTATTGGACGCACGCGGCGTATGTAGACTCCCTGCATTGACGAACATCATCCCATGTGTCAAAGGTTTGGCTAAGTCTTCACGCGCTTCAACTTGATGTTGGCAGTTCGGTAGATGTAATGAATTTGCATACACGCCAGCAGTTTTTATTGCTGCATGAGGCGCCACTGCTGGACAATCTGCTTCGTTTTTTTCGTGCGCAACATGAGGGCCGGCCGCTGCGTGAACAGTATCAAAAGCGCTACGGCCAGACCAACGTCGTATTTGAGCCATGCCCGTCAAAGGGAGATCTCGATTTACATAGGGTAAGACCATGTGACATGACCAAACTTGTTGCAACAACGTCATTCAGATGATGATCGTGTCCCGTTTTTGTTCTCCGTCGTGGCTCTGCCCTTATAGGTTTTGGATTCAAAGTACTTTTTCTCATAATTGGAAAAGTCAGTGTGGCCAAGCCACAACAGGTGTCGTTCGGCGCATTCAAGTTACAAATCAGTGTCTGTGGTTATTACGTTCAACCAAATTGACAAACTGTGCAGCTCCGAATGTGTGTGCTATGAAGCACATGTGGCAGGTGGCATGTGCTGGCCAGCACTTGGTCTTTGCAGCATAGAGTAAATGTATTCACATTGTGCTTAGCATAATAACGTGAATGAAAGTCGCTTGAAATGCGAACTTAAGTCACACGAACTCATGCCCCAAAACCGCCCTGGGTGTTCTTTTGAAGTTCCCCTCATCCTCAAGCGATGCTCGTGTTAGCAAGGTCCTGAAATGAATAAGACTATGACACACTCATCACCACGAGTAGATGAAGACTGAGATCGACTACTCCTGGTGGAGATGCGCCTCAGGCCCCACCACTGCCACCGGAGATCCTCAGGTCGCCCTGAACAAGATCTTTCACCACATTGCCAACAACACTGTGCCCAAGTCGATCCGACATGCCCTTTGCTCCATCAACTATACTATTCTGGAGAAGGCCAACGGCAAGTTTCGACCAGTGCGCACGGATTCCATCTTCACGCGGGCCAACACCGGGGGCTTTGGCCTGCACGACTTGGTTGAGCGCGGTCCGGTGGCTTATGTCTGCAACATGGCCAAGCTGGCCACTCGCTACCCTCGGGTCTACGATCGACTTTTGGAGGATGCATCGAGGGCTGCCTACTTTGAGGACCACGTGCAGCGAGCTGGCTTCCAGATGGCCACGGTCAAGGACGCGGCGACCCAGCGACCAGCGGAGATCATTGCCCTCCGCTCCAAGGCGGTACTGGACGACCTGATGGCCAAGTGCGCGCTGGACCTGCAGCAGGCATATCTGGCCTCGCGCGAGTGGGGCGTCAGCACTGTCTTGACCATGCGGGGTCGGGACAAGTTGCGTCGCTTGAGCGACACGACCTTTGCCATTGCGGTCGTGTCCATGATGGGTTTTGGCCTCCATGAACTCATCAACGTCAAGCCGACGGACAAGTGCCCACTCTGCAGCAGCAAGACACCTCAACCGCGACTGACCCGCGAGCACCTGCTGACCTGCCGTCCCATCAAGCGTCACAACGCCCTTCGCGACGAGATGGGCCGCCTGCTCAGGTACGCCACCCTCTCCCATGTCTGGGTGGAAAAGTCTGGCTACAACGCCAACGGTCAGAGCTGCCGCATCGACCTGCACTGCCGCAACCCCTTTCCCGGCGGTGCCTTGGGCCCAGCTCTGCCCGACCTGGGCATTGACGTGACTGTGCGCACAGCCCAACCCCCGACCACCTCGCAAGCCTGCATCAAGGTGGGCGCTGCCCTTCGCCGAGCCGAAAAGGAGAAGCGCGACTACTACACCGGTTTCAACCATGGAAAAACTCTGATCGTCCCTGCGGCGATGACGACAACCGGTGGGTTTGCCTCCTCCTTTGTGGATCTGCTTGGTCAGCTCGCCCGCTGCGCCGAGGCCCGTGGTGTGTACCAGCCGGGGCTGGATGAGGCCTTTGTTCCTCGATGGAAGGGTCGCTTTGCGGCGCTGGTCCATCAGATGAACGCTGACCACATCCAGCGCCACTTTGGCGGTGTCTGCCTGCGCTCGTCGTAGGTAGGCACCGCCTTGGGGGTCCCTCTGTGGGGATCCCTGTGTGCACCTGTTGCTCCCTAGGTGGTTCTCGTTGTGATCTTTTCATGGCTTGACTTGTATTTTTGTTTTAATTTTGCTTTGATTTTTACTGTATTTGTGTGGTATTTTTGCTGAATTTTTGTAAAGTCCTTTGTATGATGTCTTTGTCTTCTGTGGTCGGTTGTTTTCTCACTCCGACGTTGTGTCTCGTTGGATGTGAGCGTGCCGTGGTGTTTTTTATGTTCGTGCTGTGATGGCTTGTAGTTGTGATATGTGTGACTCCCTTTTTGGGTGTCTTGTGTTTTAAATGGCCGTATCTCTGGTTATACCTGGTCGTTTTGTACGATTTTTGTTTCTATGTGCGTAATTCTTCGCGCTTGTACTCCTCGGCATGATAGAAGCCGATGAAAATGTCTTGTTCTCTTGTGTTGTTTTGCGTGCCGTCGTGATTTTGATGTCGGGGTTGCACAGCTTTGCTTTCAGCTCTGAGGTTCAAACACCTAATTTATTATTCGATCTGTCGAACCGCTTACTGGGCTGGGCAGAATGGGTTAATGCCTGTCCTGAAGACAAGAATCAGAGCTTGGTTGAGCCGTGGAGTGAAAGTGGTGGCTTGAACAAGTGCGTCGAGGATATTATTGATGCTCACGTCAAGACGGGTTGCCTATCTGACCCAGATGTACTGTTGGAAAAGTTGTACCGGAAGCTGCCTGAGACGGCTTCCAAGCGCCCTCGCTTCAGGTGCGCGCGAGGCTCAAGTGGCAACGAAAGTCTTCATCAACGCCTGGCCGCAGCCATTCCCATTGGCACACGTGATCCAAGTGCAGCCGGGGCACTCGTCGCTGTCCTTTTTCGCATCGCCTATGATGCTGGTATCGAAGCAGGCCTGTACACGAATGAGGGCCATCACTACGTTGCTCTCAGCGCACGACGCAACGAAATTTATCGCAGGTTATTCAAGGATCAATCGGACCCAGCACGTCTTCCACCCTGGGATGTCACCATGCCCGTGCCCCTGGAGCTTTTCCACCCTATGCAGCCAACTCTTGGAGCTACAACAGGTCTGTAATTTCTCGTGGCCCCTCATCATCTCCACGCGCGTACTGTCCTGCCCTTTGTAATCCTAGCTGTACGCAGGTGAATTGAAGCGCTGCACAACATCGGGATTTACAGACAAGCTTCACATTTTGTATTTGCGCCGCTTAAAAAAACGTCATCCTCGCCGGTCTGTTCGGTGGCTCACGCATCGTATGAACCATGTTTTTCTCCCGCTCGGTGCACATTACTTTGCAATAGATCAAGTCAAGGACGTAAATTTGGGCATAGATCAACAGGAGTATGAGATGGCAATGCAGCAATTCCAGGACACTTGTTCCAGGATTGCTGATGCAAGATTGCGACGCAATGGCGAGTCGCCGCAGCAACCCATGCCCGTGCCACGTACGCCGGTCTCGCACGCGGAGGCATGTCGTGCCAATCGGCAGCTGCACATTCAAAA